AATCATTCATTATTCCAATCAAAGAGGCATATGTGATATTCAATCTATAGGATCATGACAGGAAGAAAAGTCCTTACTCAAAAGGTTGGATATGAGATTCCAATAAATAAACCATGGTTAGAGATGTTTCAAATGTAATTTTAAAGAGGATGTATTTGGACAATGCAGCAACTATTTCCTGGGCCACAGAGAACAACATGGTTTCTTTGAAGAAATCATGCATAAAATGGTTAGTGATGTTACTAAATGGTGTTTTGGTTATCTCCACAGTGCTAAGAAAACTGTACACCATTTCCCTGTTTTACATGACAGGCCTGGAAAATAATCTTGAAAAATGACTCTTGAGACTATTATTCCTAGCAGCAAACTAATCTAAAAATTATGCTTACATAGAAAATGACAAAATGCTATCACCATTGGCAGCTGAAGCAACGTGATCTCAACCCATTCAGACCCCCTGAACGTGATCTTTGCTTAGGCTCCCATGTGAAGCCGTGTTGACACTGCAGGCCTTAAGACTGATGAAACACAGCTGTCCATTGCATCCTCACCTCTGATATTTGAACTGGTCATTTCTGGCCCACAGGCAATGACATGACACCATTTGTTGAAAAATTACTTCATTTCTGTTGCCATAACACTAGGTATATATTTTTTAAATAGCACTCTATTGTTAGAATTAATATTTTTTTTCTCCTGGTATTTCTCCCTTATAAGATCAAATTCCTTAAAATTAGGGACAATTAAAGAAGATGCCCTGACTTAATACACAGGACCTTGTCTTCCCCTCCCTACTTGCTATTGCAGATTAACTTACTCAGCTAGGACCTCTGACTAGATCCCAGCTTTTAGCTTCACTTTGGGTATCCACCGATCTCCTGGTTCTATCTAACAGAGATGCCTACATGGTTTATTCATTCATAATTTGGCTGGTTAATTTCATCAATGAATCCTTATACAATTTTGTTCCTTTGATTTTGTAAGTCTATACTGCCTGATTCAATCTTATGGAATCCTAGCTGTATTCAGCTACAAATAGTTATTAAACACCTACTACATGTCAAGAAATGTTCTACTCACTGTAGAAACCAAAATAAATGAGGAACCAAAATGAGTAAGATGTCAAAAACTCACAATTCAGAGGTGGGGAACCAAGAAACACAGTTATGCTTGGTAAGTGCTAGGAAGTACATGTACACAAAGTGTTATTGGGGTAAGAAGACAGGCACAAAGTGTAGCAATGATCTCAGGGCAGGTGGTTAGGTGTTACTTCTAAGATGAAGAAATGCTTGAGCTGTATCTTAAAAATAAGTACATGTTAGCTCAACAAAGAAAAGAGAAGAAATAGAAGAGGAAACAGCCAGCACAAAGGCATAGAAGCATGTTGGGATTTGAGTGACTAGGCAATGGGAGACAATAAAAAATATCTCTTTCCAGACATCAAGAAAATGGACAGATAGGCTGACAGTGAAACTGGAAGTGGAAAGGCTTGTTAAGAGGCTACTGCTGTTAATGATTTGGTCAAGTAAGGATCAAAATCTGCACTGAATCCACTGCACTGCAAATGAAATGGGTAAGGTTGAACTGTGCCTACGGCACTGAAATGGGAGGCAGAATAAAGAAAATGTAGAAACCTAGGCAGGGTGCAGTGGTTTATGCCTGTAATCCCAGCACTTTGGGAGACTGAGGCAGGTGGATCACCTGGGGTCAGGAGGTCGAGACCAACCTCGGCAACATGGTAGAACCTCGTCTCTACTAAAAATACAAAAATTAGCCGGGTGTAGTGGTACGTGCCTGTAATCCCAGCTACTCGGGAGGCTGAGGCAGGAGAATTGCTTGAACCTGGGAGCCAGATGTTGCAGTGAGCCCCTCACCATTGCACTCCAGCCTCGGCAACAGAGCCAGTCTCCATCTCAAAAAAGAAAAAAGAAAGAGAAGAAAGAAAAGAAAATGTAGAAACTTGAGTGGGAACAGAGAAATGGTGAGGGCAAAAGTAAGAAATTCCTCTCAAGTATTTGGTTAAAGCTTGTTTTGAGATAGCATCTACCTTTATTAAGCAGGCTATTCATTGTTTTCTAAGTGATTTATATGCATTATCTTAAGTAATTTATATGCATCACCTAATTTGATCTTCACAATAACACTGGATGATCAGTATCAATGTGACAGATGAGGAAAATGAGACAAAGAGAGGATAGGTACTCCGTACAAGGTCACTAGGCTATTAAATAGCAAAGCAAGATTCTCACTCCAGAGCCTCTACACCATTCCCTGGGATAAAGAATCTTGAAGGAGGTTTAAAAGAAGTGAAGGCCGGATGTAGTGCCTCATGCCTGTAATCCCAGCACTTTGGGAGACCAAGGCAAGTGGATCACGAGGTCAGGAGTTCGAGACTAGCCTGACCAACATGGTGAAACCCCGTCTCTACTAAAAATACAAAAATTAGCGGAGCGTGGTGGCACGCGCCTGTAATCTCAGCTACTCAGAAGGCTGAGGCAGGAGAATCGCTTGATCCTGGGAGGCAGAGGTTGCAGAGAGCTGAGATTGTGCCACCGCACTCCAACCTGGGAGACAGAGGGAGACTCCATCTCAGGAAAAAAAAAAAAAAAGTGAAATAAGATGATGAGTTTAGTTTTATGCATACTGCGTTTCTGTTTCCGGAGCTTGCAAAATATATAAGAGGAGATCTCTAGTAATACTAGGAGCTAAAAGGTAGGTTCTAAGCTAGAGATATGTTTGGGGATCTTCAGGTTATAGGTGGTTGCTGGAACCTGGGTATGGGAATTGCTACAGAGTTTAAGAGAGAGGGGGAGAGAGAAAGATGCCTTTAATTTCTGCCTGGACCTTGAAGCCTAACATTTCAGGTATCCAATCCCCGATTACCCACTTCTTTGAGTGAACAGATTGTCCAATTATATCAATGATGGGGCATGGGCAAGAGAAAGATCTGAGAAGGTGGTGGCATTAATGGTTTGAGGAAAGAAATCTGAGGTTATGGTGAGTCCTTTCCCTTTCAGTCCAGAAGAAAATAAAAATCCACTGCATATAATGAACCAACACAGGTATTATAACTGATGACTTCTTTAAATATTTCTTAAACCTTTTTCTCTTTCCATATTTATTGCACTTCTACGTGTGTCTGAGCTGTGGCACCAGAGAAAGACATCGCACCACCCTCCAGGGGCTGGCAGTCTGGTGAGAAGGGGCACAGGTAAACTGATATTTACATCACAAAGCAGTGACTGCTGTATGTTTGTAGTGGTTCTAATTCCAAGATAATTTTGTCCCCCAGGGGACACTGTGCAATGTCCGGAGACATTTTTGGGGCTATACCTTGGGGTAGAGCACTACTAGCACCCAGCAGATAGAGCTTACAGATGGCGCTAAACACCCTACAATGCATACAAATTATTCGGTCCAAATTGTCAATAGTGTAGAGGTTGAGAAACTGTACTGTGACGAAGGTGAGCTGATAAAGAGCAGAGCAGGAGGCACGTTGACTGGGTGCCTCCCAGTCAAAGGCACCTGGGAGGTTCAAAGCAGCCTCACCAACATGGAAGCTGACTTCAAAAGGAGCAATTTGCTAGGCTAATGTGTCAGTGTCTGATTATTATTATTATTATTTTTGCTATGCAGTATTTGCTTTTCATGGTCTCACTCTATTATCAGTATTTGTTAAGAAATACTATTCTATGCAACACATTGCCCTCTATGCTATGGAAGAGAAATACTCATAAAAAAACAGGATTTGTACCTTTAAGTGTATAAAGAATATTAACGCTTGTCAAGCTTTCTAACATACTTTATCATTTAAACCTCAATAGTCCTATCAAGTTGGCAGTACTAGTTTTACTCTGTAAAGTCAGAAAGAGCTTCCTGAGATTAAATGACGTACCGCAGCCCATACAGGGCTGCTCTGATACATAATGTGTGTTACATTCAGATGATATGGCAAAAAGCTGTGGTCATTTCACCAAAACGCAGCACATTTGAATTTGCTCTACAGCTATGGTTATAGAACTTCAGAATGCTTCTTGTTTAAAACTACAATAGCTGACACAGAGGTATGAGATCTTACTCCTCTAGCATCCACACCACTGAGATTAATTAAGCAAAACTGTATGACTCATAATCCTGTCTATCAGATTCTGAGATTTAATAAATGAATTAAAGGTTAAATTACATTCGAAAATGATTTGGGGGTTGTTGGGCATTTCAATTTTTATACTTTTTTTGAAAACTGATAAGCATTTACAGCAATTCATGGTTAAACAGAGCATCTAAGAAACCAAAACACATTTCTGGCCATTCTTGACAAATATCTAATAAACTTTTAAGCAAAATAACTTTTATTAGTAACTCTTAGGTATCAATATGAGCAAATTTTATATGGCTAACTGTTCTTAAGTAAAACATTTTAACATAGAACTGGATAGGGATCCTAGAATTTTGACAATGGAAGCCCATGTAATAAACCCAGGGAAACTTGAACTGAGTCCCTTAATTGGCACAACTGGCCTGGAAATTTTACTGAGTAATTTTGAAATTTCTGAGAAAATCTGAAGTTCTGTGTCTCTCTGAACCCACTGCTCGTGTTAAAATCCGGCCTGTGATATTATGTATCTAAAATTAATGATTTCTCAAAATTCTACCAATCTGTATTATTGCTTTCCTCCTATTCAAAATATTTTGGTAGAGGGTCCTAGGATACATTTAACTCTATCACTTTTGCTTATAACCTCTTTTCTCTCTCAAATTGTTCCTACATAGGATATGGAGTTGTGAGTTGAGGGAAGAAGCAACATAGTAAAAGAGAAAGAGCTTAGGTGACAGACACCTTCCCTAGTAGGCAACCAAGCGCAAGTCCCTTCACCTTTCCAGAAAATTCTTAGATGGAGTATCATTACCTTACACAGTACAGTGAGAACCAAATGAGAAGGCATGTACAAAATATTTAGCAAAGTACACAGAGTTCACACTAATAAATGTTAGCCATTTACCTTCCCTGAAAGATGAAATCCAAAAGTTAAAGTAACTTTTATCTCACATAGCCCTTCATACTAAAAGGGTGTTCCACAGAGTTCCCATGTGTACAGTAGACTTGGCTGGTGAACTGCAGTTCCTGATCCCCACGCCCTTAATACTTTTCTGCAGGGTCATGACCAGTTTCTTCTCTTTACCTAATGGTACAAGCAGAGTGAAGTGTCTACAATCCTCAGCATCTAGAGTCCCAGCATGCGCCCTCACTGCCCATTTCAAAATCTGCACTTGACCTTCTGGTCAGTGCACTACAGAGGAGAGCGCCCAGGGGCGGAAAACAGGAGAGCCCACAACTGCCTCTGCTTCCACTCATATCTTGTTGTGTGACTGGGTACCAGTACTAAATCTTTATTTGCTCCTCTGTAAAAACCAGGGGACTATATTACAAGATCTTCTAGTCTGTCCTAATCTAACAGTCGATAGTTCTAATCTAAAACTGTATTTTACAGTTCTACTCTGTTGAAAGACAAAGACTTACCTAAAGATAATGGAGCTAGAACATAGTGCTACTTTCATGTTTCTTTTATATTTTCTATAAAATTCATTTTATCTTATACTTATTCAAGAAATCATTGTTCAAAACATGATTTAGGTTTTGTAAATAATTTCTCTTAAATATAATAATTGATGTTAAAATTACTGCCACTTACTGATGTGCCAAATGTCATCAGTTAGGTGATTTTATAAACACACATACCTGCCGTGTTGATGCAATTCCCATAAACTGATGCTTTCTATAAGGATATTCTAATGTTTTATTTTTTCATTCTTGGAAATTTCAGTATGTACAATTAAGTAACGCACTGGATTACTGTAAAAGTTACTGTAAAAGTCAACTACATATTTACAAATATAAAAATGAATAGTCATCATTTCTGGTGACAAGATTGAGAAATATGATTATCTACTTATGCCACTCAGCAAAAGAACCAATCATCTTAAAAGAAATAGAAAAAAAGGACATATGAATTTAATTATGAAATACTTATGCATGAATGAAAACATGCACAAGCAAGAATCCACATTTAACATCTACAGAAACAGAACTTATCTAAACAATGAATTGTCACACCCTGAGGCTATGCCTCGTGTTTCTTACTGAGGACAGATATAACACCTCTGTTGATAATTCGGTCCAGAGAGTTATCAAATTGGGAAACATCTGCATAGCTAATATCCTAATGTTGTAGTTTAAGTATATTTCCTTTTTAACTGGTTATTCCTCAAGAAAGTAGATATCTGAGCCCTACATCATCTTAAAGCCATAAATACAAGCCTTCTCTTCTCCAGAATAATCCTAGTTCCTTTCACATTTTCCAACTTCTTAATCAAGCCTTATTGCTTCCCTAGAACTTCAACCCCTTCACTTCCTTCTTTTTTGTTAATTACTGAAAGTGACACAGTAATCTCCAAGGGATCTCCACTAGTGTGTAGTATAATAAACTTATTAGGTTTCAAAATGTTATTCTCCCCTTTCCTGAGTGGTACTTGCCATGCTACCTTCAACTCCCATACAACTCATCATGAAAACTTCCACCTATGAAAGGAAAATTATTCTGAGAATCAGAAACTATGCTCTAAGACTTAGGAATACCTACCCTTACACTTTTGTATTCTTTCCTACCTTCAAAAAGGCAAACAGGATTTTAAAAGCTTTTTAAGAGAAAAAGACACCAGAAGTTGGATAGAGCACTAAACTACTCTAGTAGAAAGTTTAAACCTAAATATTCTCAAGTCTAGTAGCCAAGAAGCCTCATGCATAACTGTTTTGGGGAAACATAATTAAGGGTATGGAAACTAAGTTACAATTTTGATCTAGAATTCCCTTTACATATTTGAGTTCTGTTGGCTTAACCAATGGCAAACAAGACTTAAGAAGCCATGTGGCCAAGTCCACATGGTTGCATTCAAACAGAAAATAAAAGGGTTGTTTACCCTTTTAAGAACTCTAACCAGGCCAGGCCCAGTGGCTAACACATAGAATCCCAGCACTTTGGGAGGCCAAGGTAGGTGGATCACCTGAGGTCAGGAGTTCGAGACTAGCCTGGCCAACATAGTAAAACACTGTCTCAACTAAAAATACAAAAATTAGCCAGGTATTATGGTGTTTGCCTGTAATCCCAGCTACTCGGGAGGCAGAAGTGGGAGAATCACTGGAACCCAGGAGGCGGAGGTTGCAGTGAGCCGAGATCACACCATTGCACTCCAGCCTGGGTGGCAAAGCAAGACTCTGTCTGAACAAACAAACAAACAACAACAACAACAACAACAAAAAACCTCTATCCAAATAAAAATATCCATTCTGCTACAAAGAAATTACAGAAGATTTTGCAATGGCCTTTAATGATGTTATGTTATTTTTTACTATAAACACAGGTAAAAAAACATTCTTTCCTTTTAGGCATCTCAGTCTCTTGCACTACTACCTTCATATAAGAAACACATATTGTCACAAAATTATAGAATTAGAATCTTAAAGGTCAAGTCCTTTTAGCATTGATAATTAAAGGCCATCTTCTGCCCACTCACTTCAATAGCATTCAAGGATTATTGATGAATGAACTGCGTGACTGCCTCCACCACAACTGGAAGGTTTCAGGTTTAGAAATAGGTTCTCCATGAAAAAGTGCCTGGGAGTACCACAGGAGTACCTTATAAAAAACCTGGCTTCCAAATGATGCTGGCAAAGAAAAAGGAATGTGCCTTTGAGCACAGTTTTAAAGTAACAGTATGTTAACACAAGGCAAATTTGTTTTATTTGAAAATGCTCCAAGTTCCTATCTGAGAAGGACATTCTTATTAGTTCTTGCAGGGGAGGGGGTTTGGTTGGTTTGTTAGAATTTTTTGGTGAAAACAAAATCTCAATGCTAATCACCTAGAATATCTTCTAAAGCTCTATGGTTTCCTTTCTGCACTTCAAGTTGATGTTTAAAAGGGGTAAGGATTTAATTTTGTATCCATGTGGTGGGAAAAACCAGGCATCTAAGATGAAGAGGTTAGAGTTTTCCTAATCTTCCCTAGATTCTCTCTGCTGGTCTAAAAAGATCATCAATTTCAATTCCCATATGCCAGTTTTTGGCTGATAATAACATAGTTTCCTTTAGTGACTCTCAGAGTAGCTTATAAACGGTACATCTTCAGAGCAATCAGTTTGCTCTGACAAGCAGAATTCTAGTCCACGGCAGTTTTCAGCCCTGTTCTAAGCCAACTCAGTGGCTACCCCTTTTAGCAAACAAGACTTTGAAACACTCAAGTGCCGCACACAGAAACCACTCCCACGTACCTCTAACCATTCCTCTAAGCTTCAGTGAACAAGACTGGTCCCTGTTCAAGCTCCTGGATTTACTGTATTAGAGATCATTTATCTTTGAGGTATAGGGCTGGGATTACTTCAGAAAATAAAAACCAAAAAGCTGTCTCAATAAATTATTTTCTCCCAAAATTGACTGTTAGTTGTTTTATAAACCTAGTTACACACCTAGATATATACACACAAGTGAAATAAAGAATAAGGAAAAATTCTAGATAATTCAAGTTCAAGAGTCCCCTTACAAATATACAAAACATTTTTCTTCAAAATATCAACATTATTTCAGAAACATGAGATTTTCTTCAACTGAAGGATTATTTTCTCAACTGTTCATTTTGCATTTCAAGGCACCTTTTACCAAAAGAGCAAAAGGTGATCCCCAAAAATTCATCTGAAAATTATTTCTAAAGTTTATGTAAAATAATGTGAGATAACATAGCATCATGAAATGGCTAATTCTCAGACTCTTAGAGAAGGTTTTCAAAAAGAAAAGCAGCATGAAAGATTACCGTTAACAAGGTTATAAACCTCCTTTTATTCCAAGCAGAACAAATGTAATTTTGAAATTACAGAAGAGCAAAGAAAATTATTTTCTTCTGTAGACAATAAGCTTCTAATTAAGGGCCTTTCTCTTGGGGATTTGTGTGGAGAGAAAAGAACTAGAGGAATGAGGAGCAGTCTTGCTAAAACAGCCTATGCTATAAAATGACCTATACACTTACTTTTACAGTGAGTGTTTTACTAGGGCAGAGACCTATCTCTATCTCAATTTAAAAGTGCTTATTGCAAGGAACTTTGAAATGTCCAAATAAGACATCTGGTTTATTTAATCAAGTTAACGAAAGAACTGCCTGACAAAGTTCCACCAATAAACTCTGTTTAGAATTTAAACAAACTCAGTTAGATCCCTGGAAGAATAAACCCATTACAAAAATCATCATAAAAAGTCATCATCTAGGTGGTGATCAGTGTCCCAGGTCCCTGACATCATTCCCTGCTGTCGCTCACCTCCAGAGCCAGGTGTCCCAGGAGCGCCTTGGCTCTCTTCAGTCTTTTTCAGTGGCTCTGTGTGGTAAGAAATTAAGAATTTTTATTATGTGAGCTCCATAATTGACAATGTTGCAAATGCACACGCATGAAGCATAATGTCAACAAGGCAAATCCTCTTTCTAGATATAGGCTACCTTTTTCTGACTACTTTCTTCCATATTTATATCCAAAAGAATATGTCAGAAATGACTGAATGGTCACGTGTTTCTCTCTGCCACTGGATGAGATACTATGACAGAGATAAATCCATTTGCAAAAAGATAACAAATAAATGTAAATTTATCCAAATGTAAATTTTTGTATATTAGAAGAAAAGCAAAAATAATCCCAAACTAACATTCTCAAACTTTTAAAGAAAAAGGAAAACTATTCTGCTAGAAAATTTTATAGGAGAGATATCTACCTGTTGACCAGTGTGATTTGATCATCACTTCAAAGGTTAAGCTTGATAGAAAATAAAAATATTGAATGATTACATATCAGAAACATGCTATTCCTTTCTGAATCAAGGAAATTGCAAAGGAAAGTTTGAAGTTTCACAACAATTAACATTTCCTTTTTTATTAATTAAAAACAATAATTTTTTGGTCAGGTAACATGGATCACACCTATAATCTCAGCACTTTGGGAGGCCAAGGTAGGAGGATCACTTGAGTTAAGGAGTTCAAGACCAGCCTTGGCAACATAGCAAGACCCCCATCTCTATAAAACATTTAAAAAATTC